TACTGCTTATTAGACAGAACGTGTCTAGCTTCCTTCAGTTCCTTGATCATGTTGGCTATTTCTCTCAAATGTTGCTTCTTCAGATTGCTTGGCTTAAGTTTCTAGGTTTCGAACTTAATTGTTAACCTTTTAAGTTTAGTGGTAAAAGTACCACCAAACTTATCCTTCAATGTTATCCACATAACCTGTGCAGTTTTGTGCTCCTCAAACTCACATATTATGTCATTAGCCATGGCACTTAGAAGCGTGATTCTTGCTATGTTGTTTTTCTTCTTCCAAACCTAGTAAGTCTTTTGGTCTCTCCTATGTTGGGCCATATTCTCAGCTTCAGGTTCGACCATAGCAGTTGTTAAAAGTTTAATAACATCTTGTTCCTCTAAGATGTATTGGATCTTTTGATGCCAAATATCCCAGTTGTCCTCGTTAAGCTTTTCCCTTTTATTAAGCTCAGCAATAATGTTCTTTGTTGCCATTTTCAATTCTGTAACAAATCTATCCCACATTATTCTACGTTCTTTCTAAAAGAGAGACGTACCATAGAACGTTTCAGTTATATAGCACAATGAAGTACACAATACTTATATTATTCTTGATCAGAAAATGATAACACTACAAGATCTATGATCGAGAGCATACGTTTGTATCTCCCATCACACAGATATAAGCAATAATCATGTTCTATTAAGAATTCTAGACAAGCACTTTAGTAAAAATTATGACTCTTAGAAGTCTCATCTTCTAAAAGCTCCCACTTATAAAAAGCACACATAGATTATTCACAAATAATCATTTAACAATAATTTAAATAATTTCATTAAATAAAATAAGACATTTAGTCTGTTTATAATGCATGAACTAAAAAACTTAACATAATAAATATTAATAAAGCAAATACAAATATTACATCATTTGATGTAAACACGACAATAATCAAGCATTGCTTTCCTTAGCTTCCTAAGTTTGCCTGATTTAGTCATGAAGGAGGATACTAATTCTATAGACCAAATCCAGTAAGATTTCCTTATGGGATTGCCTTTAGGTCTACCTCTAACCCTTGTTGCCCTTATATATTCCATCATGACTTTGAGGTAAAATTCGGTATTCTTATCGATCATGTATTTGGTGTAACTGGCTGCATCTCTTTCAGCTATACTCATAGCTAAAGCAAGGGTACATGATTGATTCACCTTTTCTTCCTTAACTTTGGTTTCATCAGGAAGATCAAGTGAATCTATAAAGACCAAGTGAGGTTTGTCACGGAGAGATTCAATGGGGAATAAAGTTTTTGACTTAGGTTCGGAATCTTCGTAGACCACTTGAGGTTCCTCAGGTGGCTGTTCTTCCATTAACTCCCTTGGGTCTTCTTTAGGGAATTCATTAAGATCATTAGGATCCTCTTCAGGGTCCTCCTTAAGTTCATCATGCTCTGGAACTTCATCGTCTAGAAATACAAAGTTTAAGAAATTATATTTAGTAATTTCAGTGCTGCTTGAATCCCCTTGGCTCATTTTTTTCCTGGGAATTAAATAATATAAATTATTAGAGGTATTCAAAATTCTTAACCACATAAAAATACCGAAAATATGCTAAAATACTAAAAAAACAGACTCAAAATTGCCTAAAAATAGGCAAATTATATATCAAAATGAAGATCTCAATTTTTAGGATTTTTAGAGACAAACCGCACCTCAAACGGAGGTCCAACGCGCCTACACGTGCTCCAAGAAGAATAAAATTTGAGAGAATAAAAGAATTTCAAACCCAATCGCGTAATCGACACGTGATGTTCACGCGTCACCCCGCTGTCAGCGACACAAGCCGTGCCAGTGTGGAGGATACGCCGCCATCTTTTAGATGGTGGTGTCCATGAGTCCAAATGGCATGCCACGTGGCGGCACGTGCCACGTGGCAGTTTTGGCTCAGGTATACTTATATATAATCTGAAAAGGAAAAAAAATTTATAGTTCAAATTATTTACATTCATTATGCCAAATCACTAATCTTGTCCTATCTCATCTCATTAAAAAATTTTTAGGATGACAAAAATGTTGATGAGACCAGGATAGGAGTGATCCAACCCGGTTTCGTCCCAATTTGTTATCTTTTTTAATTTTATAAAGCGAAAACTAATCTATGAGCCCTCATAGTTTAACCTAATTTTTAATCAAGTCCTTGGGGTTTTTTCCTTTTTAATCAACTCCTTCAAATTATCTCCGTTATACGCGTTACTCCTTTTGCTTTAGAAGTGTTAACCAGGGACAAACAGATTCATGATTGTCGTTAAGAAAAAATGATGTAGCTGACAGTTGGATCAATTTTGACAAGGTAGACTTCGATTATCAACACATTAGCGACATCAACGTCCTCTTCATTCCATTGAGCAATGAGATGGATTGCGGAACAGAGCAACATATTAGTTGAGAGCATAACTGCTGAGTAAAGTAGGTAAGTTGAGTGAACGAGGGAGCTGAATTCAAAGTCCCATCTTTCTCTGCTCTTGCGTTCATTACATGTGTGCTTTTTGTGAGTTCAAAGTTCCATCTTGGATTCCATTGTGTGTTCGTTAGGTTTATCTGCTTGAGGATTCACATTTAGTATTTTCGTGTTGTTCATTTAGATCCTTGGGTAGGCCAACGCAGATCTATTTTGGGGGTGCGAGAAGAATAGGTATTTGGGAAAGAGTTAGAACTGAATCATAGGTATTAATATTTTATGGCTAACTTCACCTTTAGTCTTTCTTTGAATTTTCATATTCTTCAGAAATGTGTTTTGCAAGAAAAGAGAGAGTAAGCATGGGATGAAATTTTCAAAATGAGTTATTGATCTAAAGATTTTTTAACTTGAGTTGTTTACACATACATATTTTATGGAATTTGAGATGAATAAAAAAAATAAAGATTACAGCAAAAGAAACACAAAATATATGACAGTAACAACTTTTTAATTTTGGAATCACAACTCCTTGATAATTATTGAATGCCATGGTCTAAGGTCATGGAAGTATCAATTTTTGGGAGTTCAAATATTGTTTTTCCATTGGAAATGTGGTTGTAGTCCCTGTCATTATATTGTTCACTTCATGCTTATTGTCCCCATCATTTCATAATATTATGCCCCAAGCTTCATACACAATAAGACAGAAGTATCCCAAGAGTCTGCCATGAGATGTGCCTTTGAATTGGTGCCATTTGTATTCCTCTGTTTTGCATATTTATATATATGTAAAGCTTAAATCACACCAATTCAAAGTATACGAAAAAACCATAAATGGGTAGCAACGCGTATATTTATCATAAGACAATAACTGGTTCTGTTATTTTGTTATAGCATAAATTACATCACATTACATATGTGAAGCATGAAACTAACACTTTCAAAAGTTGCAACTTTACAGTCCTAAACAACAATGGTCCTCAACAGCACTAAACAATAACCAGCTGCAAACAACCAGTTGCCATTTACATCTTAAAAGCTTTTCCATATCGGCAAAGTAATTAACTACAACCTTCTGCAGATTTCACTTCAAGCAGTCATTCTACTCTTTCTATCCTTCTCTTTCCCGATCTTCTCGTCCCACATCATAGAAAAACAAATACACACAACACACCAATTGATTTCTAACAATGAGAAAAACACCCCACAAGAATACTGCATTAGAATTATATCCTCAAATGTGTATTCTAGAAGACTCTCAAATGGGTTCTTTCAACGGATCATTCTTAGGAAAAATACAGAAAACTCCATGCATTGCTCTTCACTGGTTCATGGATAGTAAAGGGTCCACTTTTCCCTTTGACGGCTAACATCTCTAACTTCAAGCCCTTCGCGATTCCGTTTCGAGTTTGAGCTCATGATAGCGTTAATCGGGACATACAAAGACAGACACGATGAGCAAGGAATCAGATTTTGCACGATGATCTCCTCCCTTCTCCTGAGCACAAGAAAAACGTAAAAGTGCTTTCATTCTTCGATGTCATTAATGTTCTATTTCTCTAATGTTTTGATAACTGAAGTCCAACTTGTCAAAATCCATCCAACTGTTAGCCACCTCACTTCTTTTTAACGGCAATCATGAATCTGTTTGTCCTGGTCAACGTTTCTGAAACAGAAGGAGTAATGCGTATAACGGAGATAATTTGAAGGAGTTGATTAAAAGGAAAACAAAACTTCAAGGACATGCTTAAAAATTAGGTTAAACTATAAGAACTCACAAATTAGTTTTCCCTTTCATAAATTTTGTTTACTTATCGTCAATATAATAATATTATAATTTTATGTTGTCTACAATTTATAAGTTTTTCTGCATGAGATGTTTTTTAGGAGATATTTTGAGTTTATATATTTTTTCTTTTTCCAAAAGGAAACATTTTTCTTCATTAATTTTTATTACTATCAATTTTTAGCCAATTTTTATTTATTTTCTTTATTTTTTTACTATGAATTTTATGCTTCAAATATATTTAGTTTTGAAATAAAAAACAAAAAAATTTAAGAAAATAATCGGACATTGAACGTCATTAGGACGAGACGAGACATGGAACAAAATGGCTGTTTCATCTCGATTATCTAGACAAGATAGGGATGGAGTGTCTTGATTTCATTGGTTCCGTGAATACTTCCACTCATATGTGATTGGAAAACTTAATGATATAAAAAATTTTATGGAAGTATTGTGGAATTTGAAACTATTGGTATCTTTTTTTCTAATTAAAAAATTCATTACCTAAGTCTTACATTAGACAAAGAAGCATTACTAATAATTAGGTGTTATACAACATCAAAAAACCATATAAAGAGAAAATTTCGCCTCCGCTTTGTGAAAAAGAAGTACTTTCATTGGTTTCCAAGTCACTGTCATCACTCCACTCACCGTTTTCTTCCCTTTATCTTTCTTCCTCCGTCATCTATTTCCACCTGTCCTTCATTTAAGTTCCTAAATCGTTTTCCCCAATTTATTACGTACCATGAAATGGGACCATATTTCTCCCATGTAATAATGGTGTAACCTGAAGAATATAGTCTTCTCATCCTTTTCTCAGGAAGAGCTGTGACAAGCCCCTCATCATCTTACCCAAACCTCAAAGATCATCATCTCTTCTCAGAAAGCTTCTTCAAAGTCATGACGATGAGAGAAGCCATAATAAAGGATCTTCTCTCTTTCCCAACACTAGCAGCAATTTCAGTCATACTTTTGTCGCTATTTCTATGGATCAGATCTCAGAAGAACTCACCAAATCACACAAGCAAAGGAAAGCTAGCACCAGAACCAGCAGGAGCCTTACCCCTTTTAGGGCATCTTCATCTTCTCGGAGCTCAGGCCCCTCTCGCCCACACCTTAGCTTCTTTCGCCGACAAGTACGGTCCCATCTTCACCATCCGCCTCGGAGCCTTCCCTGCCCTCGTTGTTAGCAGCCAAGACGCCATTAAAGAATGCTTCACAACCAATGACAAAATCCTAGCTTGTCGCCCCAAATCCAGCCAAGGCATCTACCTCAATTACAACTACGCCTCGTTCGGGTCGGCCCCGGACGGCCCGTATTGGCGCAAATTGAGGAAGCTCGTCATGCTCGAGCTACTGTCAGCTCGGAGAGTCGAATCGTTGAAGTATGTGTACGAATCTGAGATCGATGTTTTCATCGGCGATCTGTACTCGTACGGCGACGGAGATAATAATAACAAACGCAAGGTTGTGATTAGCGAGTGGTTGGAGCGATTGACGCTGAACATAATCACAAGGATGATTGCAGGGAAGAGGTATTTTGGGAATTCGCAGGATGTGGATGATGAAGAGGCTCGCAGGGTTGTGAAGCTGATAAAGGATTTTATGCATATTTCTGGGGAATTTGTTCCTTCGGATTTGATTCCGTTTCTGAGATGGTTTCCAGGTGAAGGAAAAGTTCTCAGATCTATGAAGAAGATGGCGAGTGATTTGGATTCTCTGGCATCAAGTTGGGTTGAAGAGCATCGTGTGAAGAAGAAAGAGTCGAATAGTGAGAAACAGGATTTCATTGACTTCATGCTTTCTGTGATCGAAGAAGACGACTCCACCTTGGGCCATACACGTGACGCTATCATCAAGGCAAATATCTTGGTATGTGTTTTTTTTCCCACTTTTTCCTGTAAAAAGAATTATAAATGGTTTTTAAAATATTAATTAGATTAAATTCATTAATTCAAATGAGTCTCATATAATTTCAAATGTTATTTCATAAAAGGATTGTAGACTTTAATTTTATGTGTGAATAATTCGTCTTAAATTCTGGATTATTATTGTTTGTAGGGTAATTTGTCATGCATGCCTCATTAATAAATTAATAGACAACAGTGTGAAGGTCATCATATTATTTATTCGTGACTAAAAAAAAGAATTTTTATGCAATTTGTAGATAACCAGGTGTTCTAAATTTCCATATTTTAGATTTACAAAAACGAGAAAATGGTAAATAGTTTGTATTTTTTATAAAAATTAAGGATATTTTTTTTACCAGTAATGAAAAGATTATGTGCTTTGTTTGCTTGAAATTATTAATACACACACATATATAAATTATTAATACACACACATATAAATTAAGTTGGTAAAAAAATAATATATCTTATAAATAGAATCAATGTTACTCTTATATTGTTATTATATTATATATAGCATGATTACTTTTTTAAATTAAAAGTGCAGAATATAATAAAAGTTAACATGTAAATTTATTTTAGGATTTTTTATAGGAGTACTGGGCATCAGAAGTTTTTTTTTTTAGGTTTGACATTATTCTAAAAGTTTAAAATTATAACAATATAAGATATTGACTGTTAAAATTTTCAATACCAGAGGGCAAAATTATTACAATTTTAAATTTTTGAGATAGTATTAAACTAAAAAAAAAATCTTCAAGATACTTAGTACTCTTGAATGAAAACTTCTGAGATAATATTTGCCGCCTAACCCTATAATAAAAATTCTTTGCATTTGTGAGGGGGTGATCTCTAGCGAAGCCTATAAGAGGGCCAACAATTCGTCGGAGGAAAAAAAAGGGGACTATAATTAAAAAATATATTAAGTAATTAATCTTTTGCCAACATAAGTAATTAATTTCTTGAAGAATGCGATGGGCATGTTTCATGAGGACAATATAATAATTAAAGAACAACAATTGAGGACGGAGATCCAAGAGGAACAGTTTAAAAAGTCAAACATGAAGAAAAGGGGAGTGATTTGCTTTTAAGTAATCTAGAAGTTTATACTACATCCCTTTCTTAGTATAAGAGCTTGTTTAACTTTTAATTTGATCTTAAATATAAGATCCCTAATCTATTTTATCTTTCATGTTTATTCATTTTTTTCAAAGTAATCTTTCTACTAGTTGCACATGTTAAAGGTTTCATTAAATGGTAATTTTAGTTAATATAAATGATTAACAAGGACATTCTATGAAAGATAATACCTATTTATAACAAATAACTAACTTAACTAATTTTTTTAATTTTCTCAAATTAGTCAACTAGGTCTTATATTAAGAACTGAAGGTAGTATTATAGTAGTAGTTATAGTACTTTCTTATATACGTTTGAGTAGTCAATGAAAATATATTTTGTTGAGTAAACACAAGTTTGTTGAGAAAAAATAACGGGCACAATTTTAGTTTAAATAAATTCACCCATTCATGAGAGCAGCCTTTATTGAACCACATGAATACTTAAGAATACCATGTTACCCTATCCAAGTCAATTGTTATTATTATGTTATGAAGTTTATATCGAGAGGCTTCAAAAATAAAGTGTAATTTATACGTTTAAGGGGTTTTTCAACCCAACAAAGACTAGTTTTTCTTAGAACGGGTTTTTTCTTTGTGAGCTTATTCTCATAACATTATTTTTCTGCCAGTGCTCATAACATATTAATTAATGCATATAGCTACTTACAAAATCATGGTATGCTTTAATATGAGTACATGTGTTTTTTTATACAAATATGAATGCATGTTTCATATATATATGCTGGTCGAAAAAATGTTTCATATATATATATATGTATATGTATATTTTAAACGCAAATAAAACATTATTTGAATATGTAGAGTCTGATCTTAGCTGGGGCAGACACAACCTCCATCAACCTGACATGGATGCTAGCCTTATTATTAAACAACAAGCACGTCTTAAAGCGTGCCCAGGAGGAGATAGACCATCACGTAGGCAAGCAAAGATGGGTCCAAACTTCAGATACCAAGAACCTAACTTACCTTGAAGCCATCTTCAAAGAAACCCTAAGATTGTACCCAGCAGGTCCTCTCTTAATTCCCCATGAAGCAACACAAGATTGTTATATCTCCGGTTATTACGTCCCAAAAGGCACCAGAGTGTTGGCCAACGTGTGGAAACTCCATAGAGACCCAACCATTTGGTCACAGTCTGAGAAGTTCATGCCTGAGAGGTTCATTACAGAGAATAATAACAATGGAGAAATTGATCATGGAGAAGGTTATGCCCATTTTCAATACCTTCCTTTTGGATCTGGTAGAAGGGCTTGTCCTGGTTCGAATCTTGCGGCGCAAGTAAGTGTCTTGACTCTTGCTCGTCTACTTCAAGGGTTTGAGTTGGAGGTATATGAAAAAGTGGATATGAAAGAAGGAACTAGCATTACTTTGCCTAAAGCTACTCCTTTACAAGTTATTCTAACCCCACGACTTTCGCCTCGTCTTTATCACTTATTGTATACTTCTTAACTATATTATACCAATTTGCATTTAACCCTTCCAACATAAATTAAAGTTTCAAACAAATGGTGAGCTTTACATGCACAAATGTACGTTTTGTATCATTGTATGTACTATATGTATGCCTAGCTGGCAATGTTCAGTTCTCTTATTTCTTTCCTCCATTCTCTCTTTTTCATTTGGTTCGGTTTGGGTAAAGCTTTGATAGACTCCAAACTTGTAATATACTCCTTGGGTCCTTAATATTAGTTAATTTTGATTCTAAATGTAAGATATATTTTTCATATTTATTAATTTTTTCTAAATTACTTATATTGATACTCTCTCAACCATAATCAAGTAGGAGATAGATGAAGGGTAATAAAGAATATGATTATAGTGTTTTAGAAAAAAAATCATATTTTTTATAATTAACTAACTCACTTAACTTTATTAATCTAATCAAATTAGTTAAATAGGTATTATATTAAGGATTAGAGAAGTAACAGACAAGGATTGAACTGCATGATATATACACAAGCAAGCCATCCTTCCATGACAACCAATCAATTAAACGTACACTAGATGGGTGGGTGTTTCCTTTTCTTTTATCGCCATTATATTAGAATTTTAACAGTATAAATTTAATTAGTTTACGAAATTATTATTATAATTTTATATTAAATTATATAAATAAATATAAAATTATTAAGTTTTGATCAAAATAGTTTACAATTACGGTGAAAACAAGTCGAAAAATTTACTTTATAAAATATTTTAATCATATAATATACCTTTGTGATGAATTGTTCAGATTATTTTTTTTGCTGACATGTTCACATCACATTTAAACACAGTTTTCATATTAAATTTTAGGGTTAATATAATCTTTGGTCTCTGAAGTTTGTCATTATTTTAGTTTTGATTCCTTATGTTTCAAATAATATATTTTGATTCCTTAAAAAGTAAAATGATCCAAGTTTTTATTAAATTATAAGTACTAATGTTTTAAATTGAAAAAAAAAACTTGACAAACTAAAACCTGTTGTTTGAAACTTGAGAAACCAAAATCAAAATACTGATAAATTAGAGGGATGAAAAATTATATTAGCTCTAAATTTTAACTAAATTTTTTTTGGTTGAAATTTTTTTAACTAAATTTAACTATATATATTTATATAAAATTACGATAATCATTTTTAAAACATTACATTTGAAATGTTAAAATTTTGATCCGTAGTGGTTAAACAAACACAGAAGGAGAGGGAAAAGGAGACACCCCCTTTTAATATTGTGGAATCAATGAATAATATATTTAATATTGATGGATTAACTACCACCCCTACTCAGTGGGATGAATTTAGTTCTAAGTATAAAATCTCAATTTATTTTGTCTCCCAAATTTACTATTCATTCTCCAAAGTATCCTATTAATTATACATATTAATGGGATTTTCATCCAATGACAGTTATGATTACAAAAAAAATAGTTTAGAAAAATCAACTCATATTTGTTATAAATAACTAACTTAATTAATTTACTTAATATACCTAAATTAGTTAAATAGCTCTACATAAAGAATTAGAGACAGTATTATTTTTAAACGTTAGGTTAAACTATTTCAAATCACATCAACAGGATAAGGATATAAAAAAGGGAAAATGACATTGAGATCCCACACAAGAAAATATGCAGCGCAAAAGTCCCTTCAAATTTGAATCTGATAATTCTTTTGACGTCCCAAAAGGACTTGGCTGCAATATTAAGAAACTTAAAAAGACATTATTGTCTCTAAACTGAAAGTTGTTGAAGCCCTTTTAGTTTTCTATCTTGTAGGGACCAAACACGTGCTGTGATAACTTTGAATCTTCATCCCTGGACACGTGTTACATGGGTGAATTGGGAGAGTTAATGGAGAAAGAACAAGATGGTAGAGTTTAAGGGTGTGTTTGGTATAAGGGATTTGGGAGGGAGGGGAGGGGAGGGATTTTAATCATTTCCCCTTATTTGGCAACACACAAATTTTAGGAGGGGAGAGAAAATTTTTTAAAATTTTTCCTCCTCTCCCCTCCTCAACCCCCCTCCAAAATTGGGAGGATTTGGAGGGAAAGGGTACTATTTTGTCATGTTGTGACTATTATACTCATAGTTTGCCATATTGTGACTATTATGTCCATATTTTGCCCATATCTTAAATAAAATAAGAGCTAAATTGTCCATATTAAAATATTTTTCCCTCCCCTCCTCTCTTTTTTTATAAATCCAAACAAGATAATATTAAAATCCTTCCCTCCCCTTCCCTCCATTAAAACCCTCTCCTCTCCTTCCTCTCATTAAGCCAAACATACCCTAAGGGAGAACACTTCTGGAGACCTAAAGGAGTGTTGGTTATCGTTTGGGAGGTCACTAAACAAGGGAGGTAGAGAGGACGAGTTTTGGGAACGGAGGTCACTAAAGTTGGACGGTCTTTTTTTCCGCTGGATTCTGAGGAGAACGCCATGACGCTAGTTCTGGTTCGAAAGGAGGAGGCTATGAGATACTGTTCATCGTCATCTTCTTCACTGATTGAGGGGGGGTTGATGGTGCCTAATTTCAGGAATGGGAGTGACATGATTGAAGCTGAATCGGGGGGACTAAGGGAAGACTAAGAGAGGATGTTACACCTTGCTTTTAGTATATTTTAGAGTCTATTTAGAACCATTTTTGACCACTTTAGATGGCCTTAAACTCAAAATGTGTAACTTGGGTGCTAAATTTCAGAAAAACACTATTCATGGTAATTCTAGATTTTTCTGTCCAAATTTGAAAATTTGTAACTAATTTTAGAAAAATCGAAACAGAGTGCTTCAAGTTCTATAAAAAGCTCTTGAATAGTTTTTAAAGGAAAAATAGTCTCAAAGGTTAAATCTGCATGAAACAGTACTAGAATTGTATGGAAGTTCCACTGTTCCAATTGGTAAAAATTGTTTTCCAGATTTTTAACTCTGAAAAATCATCAAAAATTGTACACACATCCATTTAAAATGTGCTACCTATCAATCTAAAACTCATGGAGTGTAATTTAATCATACGAAACATCATAATCATCCAAGGCAGATAACATATTTAAAACAAAGTCACAAACTCGTTGCCTTAACAGAGTTGTAGTACCATGAACTTCAATACAATTTCCACAAATAAAACCATAATTCAACATGCCTATAACATAAGCCTTCTCCAATTACTCCTTTCTCCTTGATGGTTCAGTGCCTATGGAAAAGAGTTACGTTTGGAAGGAATAAAATTTCAAAGAAATCCCAATAGCAAGAGAGAATCAACTATAACATTAAGTGTGCATCAATTACAAGTATTCTAACATTTTGCTATTAATAGGGAACTACTTAACCTTATACATGTAGCACTCTAACATGCAATAACCAGGGCACTTAAAGCAAGGAGTATAGCTACACATTCATCATCATCATACATCATTTAGCTCAACCACATAATAGTACATAAAATTGCATAGCAATCAATGCAATAATTAACATTAAAATTAATTAAATCTTGCTACCTTTCTTCCAATGCTTTCCTTGCCTCTTGGTCTTGGTCCTCCCTTCCGCAAATGTTAAAGCCTAAAGTCACATTTAAAAAGGGTAACCACACATCACAACTATACTACACAAACATAACTTGGAATTCAAGAGACCCTTAACCCCATTGTTCTTGAATTTTTGGAATTGATTTCCAACAATCTAAAAATTATCCCATTAGGTCAACCCTACATAATTTTTTATGTAGAATCTAAATATGAGCTTAGAATTTTAAAACACATCTTCTCCTTATTGACTTTGATTTGGCCAAGAGGTAGTAATTATGTCCCTTCAATATCCAATTTCATTTTAATGCATTTCAAAGCTTATGGCCTAGGTTTACCCTACACAAAACTTCATTTTAAGGCCAATGGAAGCATCAAAACATGAAAAATCTCATCCTAGGGTAAAATCACTATTTGGCCTAGGCATAGCATGTAGGTTCGTTAACATGAATTTCATTCCATAACCATGTAATACCACTTGAAACAACTTGTAATCCATGCATTTAACCTAGGTTTAACATCATATTCTTTCTCCCCTAAACCTAACACAATTCAGCCAGCATCCATACCAAGGAGAAGCCACTAATTTCAATCATAAAACTCAAGGAAACTAATCAATACACAAGGTAGAACATCAAACTAAACTTAGATGCAACCTTGTATGATCAAATCTTCAAGCTTTTCCTTGATTACACTTCAAGAAAATATTTTGCAAGAGGTTCCCCTAGGTTGGCCAAAAATTGTGTCTTGTGACAGGGGGAGGGCTCTTTTTATAAGCCTTAAGTTAATTAAATGCCACCCAAGTTCAATGAAATTACAATAATAATGTGTCAAGTTGAGCTTTCTTCTTGTATTTTCTCTTTTCTTTATTTAATTCTAAATGAAATGGATTTTATAAGTCAAAATCCTCTCCATCTCTAGCTTGAGAAGTAGTATAATGAGAGCCAAGTAAAAAGGTGCGTACTTTTCACCTTTTTCAGCACCTTTTTTATACTGAAATGTTTTGTCTTTTTCTATATCAGTGATCTAAGCCTACTAAGAAATTTCTGTCAAATCCTTAACATTTTCTTATCAATTTTTCTTTCCTAAAGACCCTTTCTTTACTTCCATAATGAATTTGTATCGTTAATTAAAAAAAACCAATTTTCTTACTATATTAGTTTTCTTACTCATGAGTTATTTTTTCAGGTCTCTGGGTTCATTAAAACCTTCTTGATCATTTCATAATCTCTTATTAATCTCATAGAAGTTTTGTGAATTTTCTTGGGATTTATCTATCCTCATAAATATTTATTTAGAATTTTTCCAAATAAAACCCTAATTATCATAATTGGACTTTAAATTCCCTTAAAATTTAGCTAGGGGTATTTTAGGAAATAAAACCACTTGTATAATGTCTTAGAATTCTCAAGACACTTTATCCTTATTTTTTCTTAATTTTCCAAAGCTCAAAACTATTTTTCATAATTAATTTTTGACCAATTTTTCCTAAGTAGTCAATATTCAATAATTACCGAAAATTTAATAATTATTGCTTTCCATCATAATTTCAAATTTTGAGCCTAATACTATCCAGGGTCCTTTTCTCTACCTTTCATAATTATTTGCTAATTTTTGAGAATTTTTAACATACTTTTTCAAAATTTCATATTTTTTTCCACTATTCTGGCCCTTAAATGTCCTGGGATTTCCTTACTCTTAGTTATAAA